TGGAAATTCAGTCAGACTCGTAGTACTCAAGTCACACATTTCGTGACTAGGAGGTATCTGTAATTTTATTTTACACACCTAATTCTACCTTTGGAAATTCAGTCAGACTCGTAGTACTCAAGTCACACATTTCGTGACTAGGAGGTAACTGTAATTTTATTTTACACACCTAATTCTACCTTTGGAAATTCAGTCAGACTCGTAGTACTCAAGTCACACATTTCGTGACTCAGAGGTAATTGTAATTTTATTTTACACACCAAATTCTACTTCAGTTAGACTCAGTAGTACTCAAGTCACACATTTCGTGACTAGGAGGTAATTGTAATTTTATTTTACACACCAAATTCTACTTTGGAAAGATTTGCTTTCTTTCTGGCATCAACATGTTGCTTCTTGGCAATAAAAATAATTGTACCTTCAGGCATTGCATAAAAACAGACATCTTGCATCTATTTTTCCTACACATTTACAGCTGCTTATAATTGTAGTAGATGGCTTTAAAAGTTACTCAACCAGTAGAGTATTGTGTAAATTTGGTGAGAGGACGACACTTAATTTTAGCAAATACTTTTCGTGAATCCATCCTTACAAGTAAGTTAGGCACAGAGCCATGTTTTACATTAGTTGATTTGACAGGTTTGTAAGCAGATGTATTTATTATTATTAAAGCTATAGTTATAAGTAAAATCAAGTTTATTTTCTAATCCCTACAGCTCCTGCATTACCCAGACAGAATGTTTTAATATTTACTATCTACATATGTTAGTTATAGTTATAATCAAGTTTATTTTCTAATCCCTACAGCTCCTGCATTACCCAGACAGAATGTTTTAATATTTACTATCTCCATATGTTAGTTATAGTTATAATTTATAACTATAACTAACATATGGAGATAGTAAATATTAAAACATTCTGTCTGGGTAATGCAGGAGCTGTAGGGATTAGAAAATAAACTTGTCAAGTTTATTTTCTAATCCCTACAGCTCCTGCATTACCCAGACAGAATGTTTTAATATTTACTATCTACATATGATTGAAATATAGCATAATATTTATTGAAACATTTTAGCCTTCTGGTGTTTGGATTTTTCTAATGCCCAAACAACCCAAAGCAATTAAAATGGAAATGGTCCCCAGGATCACTCGACAGGTGTAAGTCAGGGACTCATGATTTGAGAACTCTACTACAAGTCTGGTATCACTTTTATTGCACCAGTCGACAGGTGTAAGTCAGGGACTCATGATTTGAGGACTCTACTACAAGTCTGGTATCACTTTTACTGCACCACTCGACAGGTGTAAGTCAGGGACTCATGATTTGAGGACTCTACTACAAGTCTGGTATCACTTTTACTGCACCACTCGACAGGTGTAAGTCAGGGACTAGTAATAATTTGAGGACTCTACTACAAGTCTGGCATCACTTTTACTGCACCACTCGACAGGTGTAAGCCAGGGACTCGTGATTTGAGGACTCTACTACAAGTCTGGTATCCCTTTTACTGCACCTTATCATCCTTACAATTACTGAAATGTGTTTTTTATATGATGTTTTTATGTTCAACTAGAAACATACTGCAAACTCACACTGGGGCATGTTTAATCTGAATCATACTGCACCAAGACTAGCTTATGCGCACAGGAACGTTGGATAACACTTGCCTCAATAAAGACAACAAAAAAAACACCAGAAAACAACGTGTTTCATCTTAATTTTGTATTTGATTTAGAAGACAGATGATCAACAACTTTCCAAACTAGTTTTGGTTTATTGTACTTGATTTTTTTATGATCATGTTACCTTGCTAGTTTGGTAAAATGTACTTTTTACACTTATGGTAACCAATCTATCTTCTCACTGCCATGCCTCATCATTATACTCACAAGAAATGTACTTTTTACACTTATGGTAACCAATCTATCTTCTCACTGCCATGCCTCATCATTATACTCACAAGAAATGTACTTTTTACACTTATGGTAACCAATCTATCTTCTCACTGCCATGCCTCATCATTATACTCACAATTCAAATACACGTCAAACTATATATTTACTGGTAAGTCTCTTACGTTGACTGACACAATATACAAACCTCATTACATTTCTAGTGTAATGTACATAACAAAAAGATGGAATCTGTATCAGTATATTCACGTACAAGTGGGATATTATGTTTATAGAGGACGTACCTGACAACTGGGTTATGGTGTTCCTAAAGAGAAGGTTTAATAGTTATTAGAACTTACTTCATTCTCGTGAGAGCATACAGTAGATAAGCAGCTGTGTTTCCTCGGTCATCCAGCATCTGAAAACATGTTAAAAAATCTACACATTATAAGTTTATGTAAGCTAGTTTACTTTAAAAACAAAACCGAAACCACATTGCATCCGCAATTGAAAGTAGTGAGAAATAGGGATAAAATTAATATTCAAAAAGACTGATACAAAACTTTTGAGAATTTATCATGTTTTTGCAACTTCAGCGCAAGTTTTACAAAATGTCCTGAACTCTGTGTTGAAAACAGACAAAAAATTTAATGTTTTTGTGATAAAAAGCATCACTACACATAATATTTGGCTTAACAAATCTAGGTTATGAGAAAAAACTCCAAACACTATCATCATTAATATACCAGGTTTCTCGACTTACATTTTTATTCCAAATATTATGTCTAGTTTCATGAGAATTCTTTTATTTTTATTCTGCTTGCAGTACAATTATTATCTGAGCAAATCAATTTTACATTTGGCTTATCAAGAATGCAAGCAAATTTTGAATTGTATGATTTTAAACCTTGCCTAATCTATTTGGACAACTTCATTATTAAGAAAAGTTTGCCCAACAATAACATTATTTTTGATATTACAAGTTTTCTCTTTGAATTTGTACAAAATCTGCACCGGCAATCTGATTTTTAATTGGCTACAGAATACTTCAAAAATTATAATTTTCTTTGGTGTCAGCTGAGGTTAGTAGCCTCTATAGTTCTTGAACTGATTTTATTGGTTACCAGAACCAGTTTCCTGTCAGTTTTGAATTGTTTTACACAGGTAAAGTAATACAGAGCCTACATTATACACAGGTAAAGTAATAGTGGGCTTACATTATATACAGGTAAAGTAATACAAAGGCTACATTACACACAGGTAAAGTAATACAGAGGCTACATTACACACAGGTAAAGTAATACAGAGGCTACATTATACACAGCTAGAGTAATAGTGAGCTTACATTATATACAGGTAAAGTAATACAGAGCCTACATTGTACACAGGTCAAGTAATACAGAGGCTACATTACACACAGGTAAAGTAATACAGAGGCTACATTACACACAGGTAAAGTAATACAGAGGCTACATTACACACAGGTAAAGTAATACAGAGGCTACATTATA